TCCATCCATCCATCCATCCATCCATCCATCCATCCATCCATCCATCCATCCATCCATCCATCCATCCATCCATCCATCATCTTTTAGCTGCTTCTTCCTTTCTGGGTCACTGGTGACCTATGTCCAGCCATCACTGTGCGAGAAGCAGGAGACACCCTGGACAGGTCTCCAGTCCATCACAGGGACACCCTGGACAGGTCTCCAGTCCATCACAGGGACACAGAGATAAACGAGACAAACAATCATTCACTCTCTCTCACACACCTAGGGACAATTTAGAGTTACCAATCAGCCTAACGTGCATGTTTTTGGTCTGTGGGAGGAAATCGGAGTACCCGGAGAAAACTCATGCATGCACGGACAAAACGTGCAAACTCCACCCAGAAAGGCTGTAAAGGCTGTCTTGTCTTGAACGTTTTTGAATCCACCCAGAAAGGCTCCCCGGCCGGGATTCAATCCAGTGACCGTTTTTTTGCTGAGAGGCAACAGCTCTACCAACTGTGCCACCATGTCACCCATTAAAAATCCTCGTCACCCATTATATAGAGGTGCCATTTTGGGGGACATTGATGGAGGGTCTGGGAGTCATCCCCCAGAAAATTTTGAATAAAGTAGATGCCATTGCCTGCATTCTGGTGTACATGTATTTTAACAGGTTTTTAAACATCTGCGTTTACCTGCATAATTAAATACTTGATTCAGTAACTATTTTAGAGAGCATGGCACAACAAGTAGTGCTAAGCTAGTGGTGCACAATAAAGATGCACTAGCTATAAGATGCAAAAGACGCAGCACTCCGCTTTACATTACATTCATTCATTCGACCTTTATTTATACAGGTTAGTCCCATTGAGCCTCAGGGACTCGTTTACAAAAGAGACCTGAATTTTAACAAAGAATGATGACAACAATGGACAATCTTAAAGGATGCGTACAAATGTATTATTTTTTTAACAAATGAAAATAAAATGGCGATTAAAAGGAAAAGTTTAGTTATAGCGTGTGTAACCCTACCCAAAATAATTGTATTGTGTATTTTGTACTTGTGTGGTTTGGGAATGTATTTTTGTTTGGAAAGGAAGTTTTGCCACGTTTTGTTTTATTTTGAAGGGTTCATGTTTGGAAAAGGAAGTGGTGTGTTGCCTAACAGCTTTATAAAATAAAAGCTTGTGGTGCAGTTTGTAAAAACAAATGTTTGTTGGTGTTAGACGTTCAAATCGACAGGTCTTTGCACAGATATCAACTCTACCTTGGGTTTTTGGACTACTGTGATTATTTCTACCTGGAATTTGCAGTGCAGTAGTCGTGAGTTTATTTTTAAAGCTCACTAAGACATTTGCATTCATTAGATTAAATTTACATTCATTTGGGGAGTGGTGGCGCAGAGGTTAGTGAAGATGGACCTGTGATCGGAAAGCCGCAGGATCAACTCCCGGTACCATCAACATCAAAATGTGGGTGGTAAAGGTGATCACCCACACCTGCCTCCACCCTCATTTGCTCCACTCTGGGCCCCTGAGCAACACCCTTAACCCCCACCATCTGCTCCCAAACAGGTCTCTCTTGAAAATGAGTTCTCGTGACAGTGAGACTACCTGTATAAATAAAGAGTATAAAAAAAAGCTAAGTGAATTGTGTGGCTTTAACTAAAGTTTCTGGCATGGAAACTCCTGAAGTTAAGTCCAGTAAATAGATGAGCCTAAACTGTTTTCTGTGACTGAGCTGCATCTTCACTGGACCTTTCTGCTGCTGGTTCTGAGAGACGGTAAAGGAGCTGAGAACATCCCGCACCATCCTTCAACTGGGACTGACAGGTGAAGTTCCAGAGGATCTAGACCTTGGAGAAAGGTACCACATTCCCTCCACTCTTCAGCATCACATCAGACCTGCAACAGGGTTTTTATTATGTTTGAACAATTTAATTTAACTATGCTGACTTAGGTGTATGTTAGAGGGTGGGCCCACTTGATTTGGTGTAAACTTTAACAATCAGAAACTGAAAGACTTTATTATGGACTGAAAATATTTGGAATTACTGTGAATGTTTTTGTTTTTTTCAAAAAAGTTCAATCTGGTCCTCTTGACATTAAAAAACAAAACAAAACAAAAAACAAAGCAAAAATGCTTTTTTTTTTTTTTTTGAATGTCCAGAGGACCAGATTGAACTTTTTTGGATTTTTCTACCTGGATTATTGAGCAGCATCAGGATGTTTTTGTTTTTTGTTTGAATTTAATATAAGTTCTTAAAGCTCAAAACTTTAGTCCTGCGTTGCTGGTAATTTTTAAGAATAAATAAGTTTAAAGGTTTTAACAAGCTCAGGGACCCTTACCTAGTGTAACATTGGGCTACACTTGTTTCATTCTGCATTCATAATTCTTATGCTCTTAAATGCACCATAGCTGTTCCGACGCTTGTGAATGCACCGCTGTAAAAATGCTGTGCTGTTCGTATTTGAGTTTTCTCTCCTGACACAGATGGAGCTTTGCGTTCGAGCATTTACCTACACTTTCTCATTTTCCTGCTGTGTGTGTTGCCAGAAGAAACACAGCAAATAAATGAACCCTAAACTGAATGTCTGTTATTTAATGGGAGTACAACTTCATACCTGCTGCTCTAAACCAGATCATTTCCTTGAGAACACCACCGCTCCTTTTTACCATCATTGGTGTATTCTGCTGGTCATGAGGTCGGCCGCAGGGTTTTATCAAAGTTTTACATTTTTCCAGACTCTGTTTAGGTTTTGGAAATGAAATAAACTGTATTAGCACCTTCTAAACGCTCAGGGTGACGCCGTCTGAATTACTTGTTCTCCACTGACAACATTGAACCATTTTTTTCTGATGAATTTTCACAAAATCCCTTTGACTGCAAAGTATCTGTTTCACTTTGGGACAAATTGAGATTGCTGATTGGTCAGTTGCTGACAACTCTACCAGATTGATTGACAGCTGGCGTTGAGGATCCGACTCGTGCAAAACACAGATTTTACTGGCCCGTTTAAGACCATCATCATTTATTCCAAATTTATTCAATATTTTGGTGAATCTAAGGTTTGAGAAATGTTTCCTTACAAAACACTAATGATGGTTTCTTAAATTTTTAGGGGTTCTTCAGCCTTAAATGCTCAATCTGCATTAGCACCCGTTCAGTTTGGTCACAGTCACATGCAACAAATGGTTAATATGACAAAGTGGTTCCTGAAATCAGCCGTGAGCTTCCCCCTGCAGCTATGATATACTGAATAAAGTTATAAACCCAGACATATTGTTTGTTTTGGGGGTTTCCACCAAATCTACATATTAGAAAAGCTGCAAGTGGCGCAAATGTCTTTGTGTCAATGCAACAAAAGAGTCATGAGCCGCATGAAAAATTTGAATACTTATAATTTCATTTCATGAAATGTATTCCTTCAAGGAATGCTTGTTTCATTTATTATACTTATCAGTTCAATTTAATTGTATTCATGCATTGTCATATTTGTTTTAGGCTCATTCAGTAAAACAGATCAAACACTAAGATATTTGAAGAAACTGACACCAAGCACATGATGATTTTATTAAATTTTATTTTTTTTAAAAAGCTCACAGGCAACTGTTATGAACAAGTGCAATAGTAAAAAAATAATTCTTTATAGTTTAAAAAACAAGGACTTTTCACAAAAGGAAATGATCATTGTGTTAATTTAAAATAAAAACCAAAAGTAAATTTGATTTACTTCCTGTATTCTACTGAAAAACAATTTTTTTGTTAAAAAAATAAAAACTGTTTTTTTTATCTGACAGAAAAAAAATTAAAAATAATTTAGATTTTTTTTCACAAGCTAAATATTTCTTTAAACACATTTTTAGCTAATATTCTAACATGATTTAATATAAATTAGAACAGGAATGACATATATTAAATTTGAACTTATTTGTAATTTTTCTGTTTTACAGTTTAAATTTGTTATAAAAATGGTTTAATTAAACGCCAAGATTTAACTAAAATTCTAAAATAAAAATATATTTTTTTACTAAAACTAAACGATCCTGAAATGTAAAATGTCAAAAAATACAGTTTTATATCATACTGCACAACAGGAGGTCAGAGGTCAAGCAGAGAGCAGCACACAGTCATACAGGTGACAGGTGTGTTTACAGGTAAAGTTGTGTTTAAGGTTAAATAAACCAGTCAGCAGTGAGAGGTCAAAGTTCAAGCCTCTGACAGAGAGAGGCTTGCAGAAAACCAACGATGTGATTGTCTGCTAAAATAAAAACAAATACTAAACTGTACTGATCCTGGAAAGTCTCAAGTATGAGCACAGGTGAGTCTGAAGGATACACTCAGCTGAGGCTCTGATATCATGTCAGGTGTATTTTAAATATAAAATCTGTTGAATCTCAGACATGAAATCAGTTTACCCTTATTACTGATTTCAGGTGATCTCACCTGAGTTTTGAACAAAATCCCAGGAATGACAGTGAATACAGTTCCTGGTGAATTTATGAGATAATTCCAGGTGAGTTTCAGGTGTAAACACAGACCAGCCAAAGATAATATCACAGGTGAGTTTCAGGAATGAATTTGTGAATTTTAAGGTACAATCTTGGATGACTCTCAGGTGTGATCTCAGGGAGGCCCACAGGTGTGTCCCAAGGATAAACACAGGTAATTCTTGTGTACATTTAAACATGTCTTAAACATCTCAGGTATCATCTCTGGTAAATCACATGAATTTTCTCCCTTGAGTTTCAGGTGTTGTCGTGGGCTTAATTCCAGGTGAGTCCAACAGAGGATGCCAGCTGAATTCAAGACATAATGGTACTTGCATTTCAAGTATGAACTTGATCCCAAAAAGAGGCACGATTTCAGGAACCTGGGCAGGAATCTCGAGTATGAACTCAGGTGAGTCTGAGGTTTTTTTAATGAAATGAGTCTTGAGCACATGCTCAGGTATCAGCCCTGGTAAATCAACCTAAAAAAGTCTGAAGTATAATCCCAGGTTATTTTTAGATATACCAAGTAATCCCAGTTTGGTCTCAAGCCTGGTCACAGGTAACTCAAATGATATCAGGTGAGCCTCAGGTCTCGAGTACATAGGAAATGTTCACGTATGATTCCAGGATGAATCTCTGGTATGATTCCAAGTGGGTCAGAGCCCATCAGCAGAGCGACATGCGCTTGCGGTACTGCTCCACCAGTGGTACCAGGCAGCGTGGTGGACCGGCCTGTAGCAGGAACGGATGCTCCAGTAGATCACTGGCACTACTGCGCTGCTGCGTGTCACGAGTCAACATGCAGCTCAGGAAGTCCTTCAACACCGGAGACACCTGAACACAAAAACAATGACCTCAATAACCAGTGCTAGGACTTGGTCTAACATCAACATGTGCAGGAACAAGCCAGTGACCCATCTTGAAAATTTGCAAATGATTAAAAAAAAAAAAAAAATCTTTGAAAATTACTTTTCAAGAAACATTAAAAAAACAGTGTCCTTATTTAGCAGGTACTAGACTGGAGTCCTCGTTTTGTTTGAAAATGAGAATGTGTGTGTGTGTGTGTGTGTGTGTTTGACTGACCCTCTGAATGTTCTTGACACTTGGCTCTGCTTCATCTCTCAGCTTCTTCATGGCGCTGATGGGTGTTTCGTTAAAATATGGGGGTTCACCATCCACCATCTCCACCACCATGACGCCCATGGACCAAATGTCCACCTGAGGGACACGAGACACTGTTAAGACACTCTGAGTCATTTCAAAGCATCGACATGCTTCTGTGATTTTCCATGAGGCTGTTTTCAGGTTTCAGGTGTTCTGGGTGTTTAAACTAGAAAAATAATAATTTAACATGTCAGTAACAAACGTTCAGAATCCAGTTCCTGCGAGCAGACGGAGCAGATTGTTGTGAGTAAAAACACGATTATTTCCTGTTTCGAGTTCCGCACATTATTTGTTCGTCAACTGCTGCAACATATTTTAACTATCCATGTGTCAAAACGTTCAGCTCAGACAAAACATTACAGCTATGGCTTATGTTTTTTGTATTTAATTATTTTTATTAGTATGTTAAGTCTTTTCCTATTAAATTAATAAAATACTCTTCAAATTGTAGCTACTGTTTGGTCAATTTTAACGTTATTTACTATTGGCTAATTATAGCTTTTAGCCACTGTTTGCTAATTTTAGATTTTAACTACTGTTTTTCTATTATGTTTTTTGCTTTTATATTGCTAGTTAGTTTAATTACTTTGCTAATTTTAAATTTCAGCTACTGTTTGGTCAATTTTAACTTTAGTTACCGTTTAGCTAATTGTAGCTTTTAGCCACTGTTTGCTAATTTTAGATTTTAGTTAGTTTTTCTTTTATATTTTTAGCTTTTATATTGCTAGTTAGTTGAATTACTTTGCTAATTTTAAATTTCAGCTACTGTTTGGTCAATTTTAACTTTAGTTACCATTTAGCTAATTGTAGCTTTTAGCCACTGTTTGCTAATTTTATATTTTAGTTAGTTTTTCTATTATATTTTTAGCTTTTATATTGCTAAAGTTAGAGTTTAACTACTATGCTAATTTTAGCCTTTTCGTTTTGTCTTGTTAATTTTAGCATTTGTTTTGATCATTGTGACCAACAGCTTCTTTAACAGATTAAGGATTCATAAGTTGAATGTTTTTATGAAGATGTTTGCAGCTTGCACCACATTCTCCTCACCGCTGAGTGAAAACAGCTGAAGTTATGTTTAGATGTTTCTTTATCCTCACCTCGGTGCCGTATGGCATTTTGGAGATAACTTCAGGAGCCATCCAGTATGGAGTCCCAACCAAAGACTTCCTCTTTGGTACCTCTTTGTTGATCTGAGCGCAGAAACCAAAGTCTGACAGCTTAATCTGTAGTCAGGAGGGAGGGAATAAAAATAAAAAGGAAGAGATGTTTGGGATTAGACGTCTGTCTTCTGAGCAGTAATTAAATACTTTGTTTGGTTTCTATTTATCAAGATCATCAGATATCTCAGAGCTAACACTGTGTTTACCTGTGGTTTAATCTCTCCTGAAAAACTTTGTACGTTACTGATGTTTCTAATCGTAAAGTGCACCCTGCTGTATGTAAACCTTAACAGGGTGACATTAAAAGATGTAGATAAGATTGCTCCATTATGTTATGAGATGTTTTATGGCTTTGTGCCTGGGACACAGCCTGCGGTGACTTTAAAAACTGTTGGTATTTATTACGTAAACACACTTTCAGGAAATGCATTGAAAAAAAAACACTTTTCATGCTGAAGTCCCACTTCCGGGAACCCCCCACCCCCAAAGGCAGCATTTTTCAGACTATAAAGTGCACTGGATTAAAAGGCGCATTAAGCAAAGAAAAAAAAAAGAAATTAAAATTTTGTATGTCTCTATTGTGACTGTCTATTGTTGTTGTTGTTACTCACTGTTGTCATCACTCTGTTAAAATCAGGTCTCTCTTGTAAATGAGTCTGAGGCTCAGTGGGATTAACCTGTTTAAATAAAGGTTGAATAAAAAGTCAAACTTTATTCAACTCATTCACTATAACCACATAAAATGGTTGTGGTTGGTGCTTGTAGGAGCGTTCAGGTAAATAATGTCGCCATAATCAATGGTGGGAAGGAAAGTCACAGTTACAAGGTGTTTCCTAACATTCAGAGTTAGACAGGATCTGTTTCTGAAAAAGAAACCCGGTTTAATTTTCAGTTTCTTTACCAAGTTTTCCACATGGAGCTTAAGAGAGAGATGTGAGTCGACCAAGATACTCAAATATTTATAGGAATCAAACTCAATGGGGACACCATTTGAGGATAAAATCGAGGGAAGGACCGCTGGGACTGGCTCGTGCTCCTAATAGGACCACACTGCTAACAGGACCATACTGTTAACAGGACCACGCTGCCAACAGGACCACGCTGCCAACAGGACCACGTTGCTAACAGGACCACGTTGCTAACAGGACCATTATGCTAACAGAACCAAGCTACTAACAGGACC